AACAAACAAACAAACAAACAAACAAACAAACAAACAAACAAACAAACAAACAAACAAACAAACAAACAAACAAACAAACAAACAAACAAACAAACGCTGACACACATTTCAACTACCAAAACATTTATGTCTGAAAATCTACTGACAATAACTTGTGACATTACAACACAAGATCAGCACAATTTAAAACCTGACAAAGTGACATAAACATCAGTGACAGTCAAACAGACGTCTCCCTCTGTGGCTTTATCCAAACAAACGAGGCCTTTAAATGTGTTGTGTTGCTGCCACAGTCACAGCCTCCGGTGTTTGTGTTGTAGAGAGATATGTGTTGTACATGTGTTGTAAATGTGTCAGCTGAAGTGTGAACTGACTGAATGGGTAACGAAAATAAATCAAAACGTGTCAATAACTTGAGTCCATGTAAGTTTAGTCAAATTGTCAAGACAACAGATGTCAACATAACGTTAAGTCATGTGTCTTCACAAAGTTTTGTGTTTGCTTTGTGACTTTTATGACCCTATTAAATCTTCCCGAACATCATAATAAAAAAAGAATTCGTGAAATGCATCAATCCATCCATCCAGAGACGGGCTGGAGCCCGGATAAATCTCCAGGCTGTTGTAGGGTGAAAACACAGAGCCAAAGGACGACTTAGACTAACTCCACTAAGTCTTTGCACTGTGGGCAGAAGTCCATTCAAACATGCTGCAGTTTAACCAAGCACAGCACATACACATAGAAACACATTGAGTTCATTTCTGTAAAGTTTTAACACTAAGAAAAGCAGCAATATGAAAAAGGAAACCGCTGGATTTATTTGATCTTTTGTTATATTTTCAAAAGTCATTAGATCTGTTTTGATACGATGATCACAGATACATTTGAACACAATAACAAAGCAAACTGTCCGCCTCTGTCACCAAATTCAAATGATGAAATGCACAATGATGATGATGATTTTCTTTACAGTCAATATTAATTTGTAAATAATTCTTTTGCTTTTTTAAAATTCCTGGCTTAAGCGTTGGGCATCTGTAAACAGGACACCGAACAGCTGTGAAGAGGACTGATGTCACAGGTTTAAAACACACATCACTCCTAATCATTTCCAGCCTCTTTTGGATTCCTGAAGAGGAACACACACACACACAGAGTTGGTAATAATACTCTGTTACATTTCTTTCTACATTTCTTTCGACGATCAAAGCAAACATTCGTGTGTGTGACTGGAAGAGGACAGATAGTTAAACACATGTGTTGTATTATTTATTATTTACATGGTGGTTATAAGAAGGAGATGTCCCATCACCACTGAAAGCACATTTTTATACGTGGAGTAGTAGAGATATTTCTGCAGATCTCTACTACTTTCTGTTATACAGGCAAGTTTTTCAGTGAAATGTGATCATTTAGAAAGCAATTTCTAAATAATCTGACAAATTGGTTTAATTATTTTATGTGATTAAATTCTTTTGGCTATACAAAACTTTGGACAACTTTTGTTGTTTTTAGGTGTGCATCATGGGTAGATAAGCTGCTGGGTTTAAGAGCTTCTGACAGCCAAGCGTACAAGTACCTCAAAACTTGCATACCTTAAGCCAGAACAGTGAAAGCTGGTCATGATAAATACACGCTGCAGGGTAAATTTAGAAAACACTTGGGTGGACCACAAAAGAGAAGATGATGGTGGCTAAGGAACAGTACAAACAAGATCACCTCACTTGAGGACTTGGTTCCTGGAGTATTTAAAAATAGACACTATCTCTACTTTTAAGATTAGGCTTCAAACTTTCCTTTTTGCTAAAGCATATAGTTAGGGCTGGACCAGGTGACCCTGAATCCTCCATTAGTTATGCTGTAATAGGTGTAGGCTGCCGGGGGATTCCCATGATGCACTGGGTGTTTCTTCTTCAGACACCTTTCTCACTGTCACTACCCGATCTGTACCGGAAACCTGATCAGTACCACGCATGTGTGAAAGGCCACTACTTCCAATCGAAGCATTTGATGATAGTTACG